TGGATGTGTGTGTGTGTGTGTGTGTGTGTGTGTGTGTGTGTGTGTGTGTATAAAGGGTATAAAACCTTGGTCTCTCATGGAATTCATATTGTAGTGATAGAAAGTAATAAGTAAATTAAAAATAAATAAGAGTAAAAGAAGATAGCGTGAATCCTTATAATGAAAAGGAGAATGGCTCTGGGCCAGCAGGTGATGTGGTGGTTAAGGCAGCTGGATTTCCACATGGCGTGTGTGTGTGTGTGTGTGTGTATAAAGGGTATAAAACCTTGGTCTCTCATGGAATTCATATTGTAGTGATAGAAAGTAATAAGTAAATTAAAAATAAATAAGAGTAAAAGAAGATAGCGTGAATCCTTATAATGAAAAGGAGAATGGCTCTGGGCCAGCAGGTGATGTGGTGGTTAAGGCAGCTGGATTTCCACATGGCTTACTGAGGTTCAAGTCCTGGACTTAGTGACTTGAAATCATGCCAGGTGTGTGTGTGTGTGTGTGTGTGTGTGTGTGTGTGCCCAGAATCCTGAGACGAGAATGGAGGAGAAGGGATTGTGGCATGCCCAACCTTCCTAGGGAGTGATGAGAGTGATTTCTTACTCTCTCTGTCCCTCTCTCTCTATCTCTTTCCTCTCTGTGAGAGCACATTCATTCCCTATGGCAAAAAAAAAAAAATGGTTTCATATGATAAGAATTAACTAGGGTCACACATTAGGAGAGGTAACAAGGAAAAGACAGCATCTCTGAGAAGATACGATTTTATACAAACCCTGAGGGAAAAGGAGCAACTACTGCACTAATAAAGGGAAGGGGATTCCATGAGGAGTAAACAACTAATGTTGAAGTCTAATTGAGAAGGTACTTGGAATACTCACATAACACAAATAATCAATTTAATTTTTAAAGTGATGTGCATTAGAGCAGATAAATTAAAAAGCTCAAAGAAGAATGACTCTACTGATATTTGAATCATGGAAAGAGTTTACAAAGAGTTATTGGCAAATAATATTTGCTTTAGTTAAAGGAATCACACGGAAGCAGAGCCGGACGGTGTTGGTGGCTGGTCTTACATTTTTGCATTTCTTGTTATCTCCCACTTTGACTAATGCTAATTTCTAGTTTCTCTTGCCCATATCCTGTTGTATAATTTGCTGACATTTTTTTGAAACGAAGATTTTTCTCAACCTAGTTCTGGGATCTAATTCATAAACATGTATCTTAAGTTTTTCTCCTCCTTCGTTTACACCAAACATTACAAATTTCAACTATTTATTTCATTGTAATTTGTATTTTTCAATATGTTAGTTTATTGTCGATAATGCAGTTTAAGAATTAGTCTATAATTCAAAAGATTTTAGGCAACTTCTATTAAATGAATTAAAGAAAAAACATAAGCCATTTTAGATTTATTGGAAAAAAATAATTACCCTCTGTCATCTAACCTCCTGTCATTGGGTGCACCTTATATTATAATCCTAGCATATTATAACATAATATTATAATAATATTGATGATAATAAAATAACATAATTATATTAAAACATTATATTATACTATATCTTTATCAAAATAGATTTATAATAAAATCAAAGCAACCTTGTTTTCTTCCAGTTAGGAAGGAATCATGAAGATGAAAAATTTTTGTTTTTCTTTATAACAAATAACACATTTAAGGAATATAATATCATCAAATTTCAAAAAGAAGATTTTAACACCATGAACAAAAATTAACTTGAAATGAATCTAAGTCCTAAATTTAAGAGCTAAATCTATAAACTCTGAATTAAAAAAGAAAACAGGTAAATCATCATTACATTGACTTCTCCAGTGGTTTCTTAGATGTGACATTAAAAACATAAGAAAAGAAATAGATATATTGGAATTCATTGAAATGAAAAACCTTTGTAGTTCAAAAGATAGTATCCAAAGAGCAAAAACATGACCCACAGAAAGGAGGAAAATGTTTGCAAACCATATATCAGATAAAGGTCTAGCATCAAGAGTATATAAAAAATTCTTACAACTTAACAGTAAGACACAAGACCCACATTTTAAATGGACGAAGTTTTTGAACGGGCATTTTACAAAGATACATAAATGGACAACATGCACATGAAAAGGTGCTCAACCTCCTTAGTAATTATGAATATGAAAATCAAAACCACAGTTAGATATTATTCCACACATACTAGGATGGCTATTATAAAAAGCAAAAATAAGCAAAGGAGACCAAAAAAGAAAGAACATAACTGTTGGTGAATATGTGGAGAAAGTAGAACCTTCCTACTTTGCTAATGGGAGTGTAAAATAGTGCAGCTGCTGTGCAAAAGAGTTTGTTTGTTCCTCAACTGGCTAAACATAGAATTACCATAAATCTTGGCAGTTTTATTCCTTGGTATACACTCAAAAAGTTGAAAAAAGTGTTCACATAAACTCTTGGACACAAGTGTGTATAGCAGCACTATGTACAATAGTCAAAAGAGAGAAAAGGCTCAGTTACGGTGGCACAGGCAGTAGGGCACCATTTCACTACCAGAAACATGTGCAAGTTCCAGGTTCAAGTCCTGGGTTGTTCTGAGCACTTGCCTTCGACCCTGGTTGCCTGGGAGACTGTGGGAAGGACATGGCATGTTGAGTCCCCAACTAACGTACCTCTCTTTCTCTCTCTCTCTCTCACATATGAAAGAAATTAATCAAAAAAATAATAAAACACAAAAAACAAAACGGTAGACCCACCCAAATTTCCATCAACTGATGCATGGACACAATCAAACCAAATGTAATATATCCAAACAATGGAATACCAGTTATCCATATAAAATAATTAAGTACTGATACATTCTATAAATGAGTAAAACTTGAAAATATTGCACTAAGTTAAACAAGTCAGACACAAAATGTCATATAATGTATGATTAGATTTATACAAAATATTCAGTAGATAGAAACAAGTAGAGACAGATTTAGAGTTGCCTGAGATTGGGGGTTAGTGTAACAAGTAACTACTTAACAAGTACAGACTTTTCTTTTGGGATGATTGAAATATTCTGGAACTACACAGCAGTGATGGTTGTATGATACTGTAAATGTACTAAATGTCTTTGAATCGTACCCTTTAAAACAGTTTAAATGTTAAGTTTTGGGTTATATGTATTTTGCCATAATAAAAAATGTCAACATACTTATTCAATGAATAAATTTAGTGATGATTATGAAAAACACAAGAAAAGAAAAAAATAGATAATTGAATTATTCCTTAATAATTGATAAAGTCTTATATTAGCCAACCAAAATTGCTTTTAATTCAAACTCATTACAAATGTATATAATATTAAATAAATTACTTTTAGATCACACAGACACACAGTATACCAAGTTAGTTTTGGGAAAAGTGCATTTAAGTATTATTCAGTAATTGTCTAGTTCCCAATATATTTTTTTCCTGATAAGGGATTATTTCAAATGGTGAAGGATTGCATAGTCAAGCTCCTCACAAGCATGTAGTATTGGGTAGAGTGAGTAGGACCTACTAATAACATGTATGGTCATATATTAACACAAATATTCATTGCATGTGCTTCAAAAGCAACAGCACTACAAGAGTCTACCTCTTTCTGCTTAGGTAAAAGCAGCCCCTGTTTTCATGTGAACTAAGAAGTTTGGATGCAAGCTTCTTCTTAGTTCTCTAAATAAATCTGGCATCAAGTACCAACTCTAATTTAACTTTGTAACTCCAAAATCTCATTATGAATAATATAAAAATAACCTGTAAAATTAGTGCTGTACTTTAAAAGGGAAAAAAGAGGAAGTGTTACGTTGATTGCTTGTGCAATTTAACAGAGCAATTTGACAGTGATTGTGGTGTGGTAGGCGTGGGCAAGAGAAATAAGGCTTTCAATGACTGCAGCAATAGTTGTCACACAGAGTCAACAACCCCAAAAATAAATGAAAAGTAGGATTTGACCTAGAGCAGTAAAAATAACATGAAAGATAAATTGGGGAACTATTCAGTAGTAAAAAATCAATAATCTTACCTTTGTTTATAAAGATAAAATCCAAATCCTGCAAATATAAGGGCAAAAAAAGGCACAAGAATAGCAATGGCCACAGAACTACTATTTGTACCATGAGGTTGATTTGAAGAATTTGCACCTTCTGACATATTCAGTCCTACAAAATGAAAAACAAATTATAAACACAAAATCAACTCTATTTTATCTAAATTGATTTCTATCATTACAAGCCAATTATTTTCTTTCATTCTTAAAACAGCTACTAGGAAATGTACATAATAAACAAAAATTAATTCATGAAACTCCTTCAAGTCACTTCCACACATGTTCACACAATGCCAATGTGTAGAAGATATGCTTCCAGGGAAGGGTGCAAATCATAAAATAAGCAGCCTTCCTGAACTGAGGAGTTTATACAACAGCGGAAGACTGACAGAGATACCAAGTGTATTCATCAAGCATGAAGTAACGGTCAATGTACGTCTGAAAGGAAAGGAGTAATTACATCTGGAGTATCTATAAATATTTTCTGGAATATATGCAATATAAGCTCAGCCTTCAAGAGTCAGTAAAGCTCCAATAAGAAACCTGCTGCAGTGGCACAGGCAGTAGGGGTGCCAATGCACAGTGCTGGAGACCACGTGGACAGGCTTTGAGTATCCTCCTTGGTCCACCTCAATATGCTGGCCATTCCCATGAGCACATCCAGGATCCTAGCTGGCTGAGGAGCTGGGGGAAGGGTCATGGTGTGAAGAGCCCATCAAGGGCTCCTTTCTCTGTCTTCTTTTCCCCCCACCCTTTAATATATAAACTTTAAAAAAAGATGGGACCAGCAGTTAGCGTAATGGCTATGTCACTGGACTCCCACGTAGCCGACTGTGGTTTGAGTTCCAGACCCAGTGGCTTAAACTCACGCCGGGAGTGTGTGCGTGCACGCCCAAGATCCCAAGAGGAGCATGGAGGAGAAGGGATTGTGGTATAGCAGCAAGCAGGTTCATCAAGATATAGAAACGAGAGTGGCATATCTAGAAGATGTGACAAATATTTATGTGATTGGAGTAGGAAGATAAAATAATAAATTTTGGTTAGATTCTGAAATCTAAACATATGATAAAGAGGTCCAACTTACTGAGGGACAGCTGAAAGTGTTCGGAAATAAAAGATCCAGTGGTAAGGCACGGGATTCAGAACAGCAACTAGGGTAGAATGGCTTGAGGGAATGCAGACTGGAAGTGGGTCTAGTTTGAAGGTTATAATAACAACTCAGGTAAAAGGGAAATTAGTATTCCAACTAGAACACTACAAAGAGCATAAAAAGGCAGATTTGGAAATATTTCAAAGTTAAAATCAAGAGAAATTGTTTGTGTGTATGAAATAAGAAAGGAGGCATAGGATTGAAGTATCCTACTAGCAACAAATAAGTGATAATGGCACTAGCAAAGCTAAGAAATGAGAGAAAGCAAGTTTTTCAACATGTCAGTATGTGTTTTAATCTGTTTTAAAGCTAACTAGCCACACTTTTGTCCGGGTTAAAAAATATATACTACCTTATTCTATTCCTTGCTGTTCCAGTGACTCAGTATATTTATGAAAAAGTTCAAAGTAATGTTTTGTTTTATTTAAAGATAAATGTCACATAGTGGTTTATGGAGCCTGTTTGTGCCTTCGGTAATCCATGGTACAATGTAATAATGAGAGAAAAAAATCTTAGGAAAATTATGCACCAAAAGCTATGTTTGTAAATGTATTCTAGCCAGACCATCTCATGTCTATGGACATATTAGAAAAGTAAGAAATAAGAATGATACAACTCTGTGTCTCCCACCAGAGAAATTTAATGTTTGAAAAGCACCAAGTCCCCCAAGTGGGTCTATTCCTGAAAATTATCTTTCCTTTTCACACTCTATGAGCTTCTCAGAGTGCCACTACATCTTCAGAGAAGTAAGAAAATTGCAACAATATTCAAACTGAAGAAAAGTATTACAGTTCTCGTGAGATAAGATCAAATGATTTACAGTTTCATATTTTCTTTTTTATCTATAGCACTTTTTCTTCTTTCTACTTGCTTAAGGGCAAGACAGTTTGTCATGTGTATTAGAAACACTGAAAAACTAAACGTTGTACAGAGTTAGTACATAAAGAACCAATATTTTGAAGAATGTGATTATTTAAAAAGGTTATCAAATGTGTCAATGTATAGGCCTGACAATGCAGGATTCAAAATGTAGTTAAGTGTGCCTAATGTACAGAATCCACTGCATTTCCTTATGATGTCTGGAGCAATAAAGGAACTACATGGAAACCGCAATGAATACATTACCCAGTCTTTGTAGTCCAAATTGCCCATAATCTTTGCCTTGAATAAATCCTTGAAATACATAAGTAGCTCCATCAGGCTCAGCAGAAACCTAAAAATATTTAAAAGTAAGATTAAATCTGAAAACTGTTCACACATGTATTTTCCTTGCTTTAATAAATACTTTATTTTGAATGAACATTATCCAAAGTTCCCTTTCTGCCGTTCTCCTATGCAAAACACAGTACATTTTTCAAATTTTACATCATCAAAATTTAATGTTAAATAATTATCATACTGGATAAAAGGGAAGTCAGTTATTGATATAATGAGATATATATGTGTGTGTGTATTTCTTATAAGCTGAGACCTGTTGTCAAAACAAAGGACAATGGGGAACCAGCAGTTAGCGTAATGGCTATGTCGCTGGACTCCCATGTAGTCTACCGCGGTTCGTGTCCCGGACCCGGTGGCTTAAAACTCACGCCGGGCGCGTGTGCGTGCGTGCCCAAGATCCTGAAAAGAGAATGGAGGAGAAGGGATTGCGGCGTGACCATCCCCCCTGGGGGGTGATTTCTCGCTTTCTGTCTCTATGTCTCTCTCTGTCTGTCTGGCAAGCGTACGCGCCCTACAGTGAAAATCTTTAAAAAAAAAACAAACAAACAAAAAAAAAAACAAAGGACAATGACATAACAAATAGAGTGAAGAAAATAATCAATTAAAGATTAAAATGTAGAGCCAGGCAGTGGTGCAGCAGCAGTTTAGCAGGCCAATTTAAGGTTTAGCAGGACAGCAGCCATTTTGACATTAGGAAAGCCTCTAAGGAGAGCAATCTGACCAAATGCTGAGTCACGTAGAGATGTATTTGAGCAATGGTCAGATGAGAAACCAGGAATGGGTATTTGAAGGAATCAGGATGATTACTCAAAGGAAAATAATTGACTCTTATTGATCATAGTAAGGCATGACGTGCATGTTCTGCTATTGTGTACCTATAAATAAGAACATGTTTAGCTTTTTGAGGTACTTTGATGATACTTGCTGATTGTTTCTCTGTAACTGATTACAGAATAAACTCGCTTTTTCTCAAGCTTCTGCCTCTGGTTCCAGTGACCATGAGAAGAAAGTGCTGGACTTAGTTGGCCAGTCACAGTAGCCTTATAAACCCACATGGGAAGACCCTGGTTTCCTGTTTCAGGACCTTGCTATGCTCACTGGACACGCACACATACACCCATGATTAAGGCTGGCTGAGACGAGGGGTGGATCATGGCACAAGGATCTTGTTGGCTGTGCTTGTCTCTGTCTCTCTATCTCTCTTCTTCTGTCTGATGAAAGAAATAAACAAATGAACTTTTAAAAAGTTACAATATAATACCACTGCATTTTGTACATTATATTACTATTCCACATGTATGCATTCCTTCTGCCCCTGCCTACCAGCCTTCATGGGCTGAACATACTTCCTGTCTCACTGAGTTGGGCTGGGTTCTGTGACTTGTTTGCCAATGGGATGTGGATGGGACTGGCAGTAGTTCAGCTGCAAGCCTAGGTCTCTTGAGGCATATTTTCTATTATATCAAGTGAAAGAAGCCAGCTGTAAAACATTACATATTATATGATCCCATTCATATCAAAGTCCAGAGCAGGGAAACTTACAGAAACAGAAAACAGACTAGAAGTAGCTAAGGGCTAGAATAAGTGTGAGGGGTGGGAGTGATAGTTAGATGCTATAGCATTTCTTTAGAAGCCATGAAAATACTCTCAAATCAGCTGTGGTGATGATTACACATATCTGTACATATACTAAAAAACACTAAGTTGTACACTTTAAACATGTGAATTGTACAATACATGAGTTACATCTAAGTTGAGCTGTTAAAAATAAGGCACATGTCAAAGTATCTGAGCTTATTTCAGAACCACTTGGCCCTCTGAGAGCTTCTGACATCTGTAACAGAAGAACCTGCTTCAGATAACTGCTGCTTCTCCAGCCTCAGCCCCAGGAGTCGTCAGGGAGAAGACCTGAACTAGATAGTGCAGCCTCAAGTACATCCCCCATGGCTAACCCAGATTCACTGCAGAGAAAGAACTACTTATTGTTGTTTGATCCTGTGGTGTGTGGCCATACATGATGCCATAAATGCTGGCTGCTATATTCACCTTGTCTGTGTATAAAATCCTGTTATAAAAGCATGGAGATACTGGATATGGTGAAGAAGGAAGGTGGAAAATGTGGGAGGGTGAAAGGGAGAGAATCAAGGGGAAGAAGAAAGAAGTAAAATATTTCAGGGACCCAAAATGGGAAAAAAAATCTGTTGATTATAATGTGTATGGTGATGTCTTTGAATAGAACAATATGCAGTGTATTCATGATGGGAACATTCATTTGATATGCTGTAATGATACACAGTGATTGAATGTAAAAGTAAATAAATAATAATATAAAATACTTTACATTAGGGGAAAAGAAATCTTTTGGAAAAGAAAATGATTTCTCAGGCAAGAAATAATAAACAAATTTACAAAATGTTGCATGTAACATGCACATCAAATGTATACCATAAAAAGAGAGTTTGATGCATATATCACTTGATATTATAGACAATGGTATATTTCATTGATCCCATTGACTATCTAGAGCTGTGGATTTCCCCTGAAGTGTGTGCTCATTGGAGGCAATTAATTATCTAACTATTAGTCTTCTAGTCTGTTACATGTATTGCAAAACACCTGAGTTCTCACCCTAAAAGATAAAGCATAAAAAAACCACCCATTGAAGTCTGATATTTCAAGTTATTTATTCCTTATTCTCAAAATTAAGCATGCTCATTTTTTTTTTTAGAGGTTTTCACTATATGGCACATGCGCTCGCCAGACAGACAGAGAGAGACATAGAGACAGAAGCGAGAAATCACCTCCCAGGGGGGATGATCACGCCGCAATCCCTTCTCCTCCATTCTCCTTTCAGGATCTTGGGCATGCATGCACACACGCCCGGCGTGAGTTCTAAGCCACTGGGTCTGGGTCATGAACCATGGTCGACTACGTGGGAATCCAGCAACATAGCCATACGCTAACTGCTGGTTCCCAAGCATGCTCATTTTTAAGAATATAATACTTCTAAAGAGAATAGCTCCTACTGAACTATTTTAATGAATGAATTAATTTTGTTTCTTAGATGAAATAATGCAATTAATCTGCATGAATTGCAAACGTGAGTTAGTTCCTACTTCACCAATAATGTAAAGAAAAGAGAAATGGGATAAATAATTATTTCCTCAATAGCCACACCTACCATCTTCTTTCTCATTTAAGACTCCCTCATTAAAGAAGGCTTTAGTACTTGAGAAGATAAGGTCTAATTTTTCATGTTTGATTTTCAACAGAGTCCTGACCTGTACATTAATATAAAACTTGATCCTTCCAAAGGTCAGTTTATAATCACTATTTACAGAAATGACTAACTAGGTCAAGGTGACTCTATGGTGAATCTACAGTAAACATCTCTCCATAGGAAGCAGTGAATGTAAGTTCTTCACTGACAACTTCATAAAATATTCTAAACTTGTGCTTCAATTTAATGAGCACACTTAATTTTCTGATACATTTTGTAAATATGTTGTATATACTTTAAGTAGTGATTCTACATTATTTATCATGGTGCTGAGTGTATTTGATAAAACCAGTGAAGAACAACATACAGACCTAAACACACATCTGTATGCTTTAAAAGTCAGCAAAACATACCATAATCCAACTGTTCTAGGGCTAATACTTTAGTATACCAAATATTTATGTATACTAATATATATATATGTGTGTGTATATAT